TTTTATTTTTTATTTTTATTTTTTGTGAGGAAGATCAGCCCTGAGCTAACATCCATGCTAATCCTCCTCTTTATGCTGAGGAAGACCAGCTCTGAGCTAACATCTATTGCCAATCCTCCTCCTTTTTTTTTTTCCCCCAAAGCCCCAGTAGATGATTGTATGTCATAGTTGCGCATCCTTCTGGTTGCTGTATGTGGGACGCAGCCTCAGCATGGCTGGAGAAGCAGTGCGTCTGTGCACGCCTGGGATCCGAACCCGGGCCGCCAGTAGCGGAGCGCGAGCAGTTAACCGCTAAGCCATGGGCTGGCCCCCAAGATTTTATTCAACCCATTAATTAGAGAAGGAATTAGTAAGACGATAAAGCTGGTTCAAAGGAGAATTGGAGAAACAGAGATTCTATATAGTCAGTCAAAGGATTGCTGAAATGAATTTACCTGTTTAATATATACGAAACTGGTTAATATCTTGTGGTGCATTAACGTCTGGGGTTATATTTTTTACTGGACAGAAATTTATAAGTTACTGTATAACTTTAATCTCTGGTCTCTAATCAAATAGTAAATAGCAAAGTCATACACAGGCAAATTCTCAAACAAAATTAAATAATTGTTAGGTGAACATGTTAGACAATGACACTGAAAGGACATGTAGCCTTCCTCTTGCTTTATTCAAGTTTTGGATAACTTTTCTTTATAGTAATTTTTAAAAATGTGTTCAGAAGAGAATGTACCGAGAGAAGTAATAAGGTATTATTTTCCTTGGTGAATTAACCTGACCCTTCGCTCCGTCAGTCCAAAAACTGATTTTACCCACCTTGTGTGCCTTTACACTAACTCGGCTCACAGGAAACAAATAAACAAATTAGACAAAATCAATTCGCTTACATTAAAAATATAACTCATAAGTGGATCAGATACTTACATCCTACGGCCGGTACATGCTTTCCCTCAAGGAAAGCAGTAAATGGGGTCAACTTATCATCTCAACATTGCTTGATGAGCAGTGGTGAAACTAGGAAAAAACTTGTCCCAATGCAGTGGAAATGCGCCCACCCTCCCGGTTCTCCCAAGTGAAGAAAAAAAAAAGACCCCCTCCTTCCTCCAAGAGCAGGAAAAATGAGTGCGGCCACAAAAAATCTAGGTTTTGGGAAGAGAGTGGAAAAGGGATGGCAAGTATTTTTACACCTTGCTAGTAGACAGGCTTTACCAAAGAAAACTCATTGCCATAGACAATATTGGGAACTTCCCTAGATTCCAAGGTGGGTTCTAAAACTAAGCTCTGCCTCCTAGAGGCTCGGAGTCTGCTCTCAGCCTGGACAGTGAACTGAGCCAAGGGCACAGCCCCAAAGCCTGTTCTTACACACTGTCTGTCTGCAGTCTCCCCAGGAGTCTGCCCATACACACCCACATTCACCTTCCCTCTCTGCCCCCACCCCTGCACTCCTGCCTCATCACCTACTCTCTCCTCTGCTCTGAGAACTTTCGCTTGTTTTGATGGAGTGGGGTGAGAGGAGGGGGGAGAAATGGAGGGGGCGACTCTGAAACTTACTGTACTTGGAGTATATTCCAAGGCCAGAATCTTCCATTGGGTAACATTCCTTCATGTGCTCCTTTGGCTTCATTGAGCTACTGTTAGTGATCGTGACAGCACTCAATAAGTAATTGCTTTTACAACTCATAAATTAATGACATCAAGCCATCTCCAAAACTCCTGCTTTTGAAAATAGACAGCTAGAGGGAGATTCTTATCCAGGCCACTTCCTCCCCCAAACAGAACGTACGTGGGAAATGCCGCACTGGATCTCTCTGACCTTTTTCTAGGTTCCATCATATCTAGTTCCTCTTCTGACGGACTCAGTCTTTCTTGGTCTGTAATTTTATCAAAGGTTAACATTTACTTTCTTGCTCTTCCTGATTCTGGTGTGAGAAGGATTCTGACTCTAAGGTGCTTTTGTAAGATGATATATTCCATTGCATACTTTTAGGTTGGCATCCAAAAATTTTTTATAAGTTCAAATAATTGCAAAGGATGTAATTATACCACAATGTATATTTTACACATGCCTTACATATTTTTTAACAAAACTTTGGAGCTTCACATATAGCTCATTCAATTCTCATTCAATTTATGGGGGAAATCCACTATGTAACTAATTAACAAAGCCAGTCCTCACTGACAAACCAATTCAATGAATCAGATTCATTTTCAACAAAATAAATTTAATAATATGCATCATGAAAACCATCTCATTTGAGAATTTTAATTCTAAAATAGACATATTTTAGCTGGGTGGATAAACAAATGGATGGATGTTGAGAAGGAACGAAGGAAGAAAGGAAGGAAGGAAGGAAGGAAGGAAGGAAGAGAGAAAGATGGATGGGAGAAATGATAGAGCACTGAGGTTTGTCTTGACTTTGTTTTCTGAGTGAAATAAGATGCAGTCACTTAGAATATTTCTTACTGAATCTGTCCTTGTTCTCCAAGAAATTTTCCCTTAGCAGCTATGAATTCTTGAATTGGTTCCTTTGGAACCCTGGAGACAACCTCACCTAGGAAGTCACATTCTGTCATTTTCACAGTATCCTATTGGTTACACTCCACTCATTGTGAAAGGGGACCACACAGGGCATACATACCATCTTCAAGGCTGACTGCCACATACACATATGGCTGTTCAATAAATATGTTTTGAACTAATGAGTTGTGTTTTAATTTTATAATTTAACTCTTAGAGAGCCATCTTATTTCTAAATGTTTGGAGAAAAGTCTCTCACTCTCCTAACCCCCTCTGGGGCAGCCTATGAGGTGTATCCTATTTCATTTTTTCAAATAGAATGTGAAACAGCAATCCAGGAATATATGGTGATGATATATTCGCACAGTTTGACTTACTTATATAAGGACAACTGGGCAAAATATTTTAAATTACCAGCATTTCAGAAAACCTAGGCACTGTGGTTGCTGTACATATCAGGTAACTCTACTAACCAGAATATTCAGTTCCTTCCATCTGTATGGGACTTCCTAGTTTGCAAAGTATTTTCACATATACGATCTCATTTGAACTTGTAACGACTCTGAAAAGAAGACAGGGTGGATTTTATTCCAACTTTATAGATGAGGACTCCTGACCAGTCCCAATTTTAATAAGAGGCAGAGCCAGGAGAAAAACTTCATTTTTCCAATTCCTAGTCCAGTAAGGGTATGAACCATCAGAAAAGACTTCAAGGAGGAACTGCGCATAGGATAGGCTGGGTTATGCTGCAGAAAAGACAACCCCATCTCAATGGCTTAACACAACAGAGATTGTCTCCTGCTCATGTAAGTCCAGTGCAGGTGGGTTGACTTTCCAAGACAACCACCCTCTATACAGCAGTTCAGTGATCCATCCTCTTATAGGTGCCCCATGATCTTCTTGGTTGCCACACAGGGAAGAGGATCTTGCAACGAAAATCAAGTGCTTTGGCCCAGAAATGACGTGCATCCCCTCCCCTCACAGCCTGTGGGCCAGCCATCTGGCCCTGCCTGACTGCACGGGGACAGGGAAGTGTGAGTTTCTTGTGTGCTCAGGGCATGGGTGAGCACTAAAAACTCTCACCATATATAAGATAGTGAAGAAGAAATAGGGCTTGTAGAAGTGGGAGAAGGCTCCTCGAGGACACTTATGAAAATGGTGTCAAGAAACACACGCAGAACACCTAGCCTATTTGAAAGCCCAGTGTCGGGTTCTCTCACATACATTTTTATTAGTTGATCCTGACAACAGCCCAGAAGGTAGACATTAGCCCCTTTTTTATGGTTTAGGGAACTGAAGCTCATGGAAGTTACATAACTTGCCCCAGAGCATACTAATAAGTGGAGGGAAGTCTAAGTCCCTAGCTCTTCCTTTTCTCCATCTCTCACTTTCACTTAATGATCTATTTTCAATCCCATAAGGGATTTATTTTTATAAGGCCAAGTGGACCACTGGGGATGGATACACAGGGGCTGGAAATTCTACTGGCAACGTTTCATTTCTTGAGCTGGATGGTGAACACATAGATGTGTGTGTATAAATCTTTATACTTTTTGTGTCTTAAATATTTCAAAATACATTTAAAAAAAGAAAGGAAGATAGAGTCTGAGAAGCAGTGACAGATTCTTATCTCAAAAACATAAGAATTTTCTATGAATATTGGCAGCCAGAAAGTGGGACATATAGTATTAACATTTATTGAACACATACTATGTCCTAGACAGTTTTAAATAATTTATTTACATGTACTAACTTATCTCCTATCTCACCCTTTCAATAACCCTACGAGGTAGGTACTATTATTATCCCCATTTTAATATGAGATGAAAAACCTGAAGAAAGTCAGATTAAGTAAATTATCTAAAGTCATATAATTTATAAAGAGGGAAAAACTAGATTTGAATGAAGCACTCTGGTTTCAAGATAGATACACATAAAAACCACCACCCTATAATACCTTTCCTAAGAGGTGAACAATGAGTCAATGAGTAATTTGCAGAGGTAGGTGAAAATCTTTCGTGTATCTCCTGCAAAATGCCTGTTACATTCCTTAGCAGTTTGCATCCAGTTAAACAGGGAATTCAAAATAGCTTTCTCATGACATTGACAGAAAAAGGGATGGTGTAGTTGGCAGCAGTTTCAAAGAAATGTTTAATATACGGGCTTGACTCCCTAGGAGTGGTTGAGGGGAAGGACCAGCTGATATTAGAGGGTTCTACCTATCATGGAAACTTCCTTGGCAAGGAGGGTAGAGTTGGGGAGGGATTTAGGAATTCCCGAAGGTAAGTGATCTAGCCCAGCTGGGGTTTTCTCCTGCTTGGATAGGGAAGCTATAAAAACACCGTTTGGGATTACTGCTAAGGCTGCTCATCAGATCACAGTCACTCTGGGACAGATCTTCTCGTCGCCACGGTTCTTATCTCAGCACACACACGCACACACTCCAGTTCAGGACTGCGGTGCAAAGAATTCCCAGGTGGGATGCCCACCGGAGCGGGAGAGAAGCCCAGCCAGAGCACTCTGGATTGACAGCAGGACCTGCCCGCGCCTGCGCCGTAGCCCGCGCGCCGGTGGAGGACCGCCGCCAGGGGGCGCCCAGGCGCTGCGCGGCCGCTCCGTCTCCTCCTCCGCTCGCTCCACGCCCCTCGCTCCCCGGGCGAGCAGAGAAGGCGGAAGTGGGGCGGCCGCGGCGGGGCTCGGGCTCCGGGCGGCCCGGGGACGGGGCGGCGGCGGCCTTGGGGCCGGGATTGGCGTCCAGGCCGCCTCGGCTCGGAGGGCGGTGCCCGTCGTCTCCCCGCGCCTTGGCTGAGCGCGGTCGTGCGCCGGGTGGAGTCGGCGGCCCAGCGGACGAGAGCGGTGAGTCTCCTTCGGACGTCTCCCGGCGGCCGCGGCCTCTCTCCCTGCAGGTGGGGACGGCGCCCCCTGTCCCCTCTCTTCCCGCGGGTTGGGTGGGGACGCCGCCCCCTGTCCCCTCTCCTCCCACGGGTTGGGTGGGGACGCCGCCCCCGGTTCCCTCTCTTCCCACAGGTGGGGACGCCGCCCCCCGACCCCTTGCCTCTGCTCCCCGGCCCGAGGGGACTTCTCCCCGCTCCCTCCGTTCCCCGGCGGGGTCCCGAGCCAGCTCCCCCCGCCTTGCCTCCCTGCACCCCGCGCATTCCCTTCCCAGAAAAGGAAATCGCCTCCTCGATTTTCCCGTCGCTTGGAGCTTGAAAAAAAATCCTTTCTAAGTTCCCACCGCCTCCCTCTGTCACTGTCATGGGAGAGCTATTTTTGGGTTCCCTGTTGAACTCGATAGAGGTCCCAGGCAGCGAGCTTAAAAAAAAAAGGTTCAGATGACACGAATGTTTCCTCCCCCGCCCCTGCACTCGGCAGTTGTAGCGATTGTTCCAGACGCTGGGTTGATAAAGCTGTTCCTAGTATTTGGCTTTAGGGGAACTCCAGCTGAGAGTTAGGACTGTCTTGAATGTGAACAGAAAGCACCTAAAGTGGGAGCAGCCTGAACCTATAGCGTTTGCGTGCTGTCTGTTGTTTCTCGGGAGAGTAAGTTATTGAATGTCTTGCTCCACAGGCACAGAAAGGAGAAAAACTTGTAAAATCTGAGTGTGGCCTTGTGAACCTGGCCCCTGGCGTTGTGTCCCTTCCCCTGTGATTACTAGGGAAGGTGGAAGGGACTTTTCTGGTTTGGAGGCTGAGGGTGGGGTGAGGACAGTGTGGCCTCTTCCGTGACTCAGGAAGGAATGTGCTTCAGGCGCTTGTTGCCCACGCCAGGGTCAGTTTTCAACCTGCAGGCCCGGTGTGCATCACAGTACTTCACAATCGTAACTTTGTCTTTGGATGAATTTGGATATGTGATGAATTTGGATATGTGATGCTGATAAATTTTTGGCCACTGGATTTTGAAAGAAGTTGTTCAAATCCTTGCCTCCTGGAGGAGAACAAATATTGCCTGGGAAGGGGACTGCCCCTCCAGTTTGTATTCAGAATTGACCGGAACAGTTGACTGTTGTGCAGCACTTCTTCGCTGGTGCAGCACGTTTGCAGGTCTTTGCATTTCAGGAATAGATTTTAAGGAGTTGGTAAATAATTCCTTGTCTAAAGCTAGTAGCAAATTAAAGGTAACTCCTGAGTATTTTGTTTTACTTTATATGAGTTGTATATTTAGCCACGAATGAATTTCTGTTGGCTTAAAATTCACCAAGACATAACTTGTTGATTTCTTTAGCTTGGAACATTTCTCTCATTAGCATATGTTGATCTTAGAGGGACAAACTTTTATGCATCACCCTATTCCCCCTTCCCCAAGACACATAACAGTATACTGTTTGGATTATAGTTGTATACCCAGTAACTAAGAGGTGGATTTAAGCCATGGGTTATGACACAGCCATTTTCAATATTTATTGTGGTCAAAATAAGTTGGCAGCGGCTACATCCCACAATATTTAATTAAGGTAGTGCTTACTATACTAGAGTCACAACTGTGAAAAGAGAATTGTAGTCATGAAGTTCTTAACCTACAAGGTAAGGAACGGTTTGAACTTTGTAAGATCCCTTCTATGAATTCATAGAGAAAGCCACATAAATTCTGAATGTTAGAGTAGAAAAGAAAAGAAGTTATAAGAAATCTTTATTTTACAGGTAAGAATATATATTAACTTTATTTTAGCTTGCGTAAAGCCAAGCTGACTTTTGTAGCGTCGCATGAAATGGATACCTGTGACACCATCTGAGGTTCAAAAGAATCCTAATAGAGCGTACTATTTTCTGTATGGGTGCCAGATCATCTTCTGTTCACTTCTATAGGTGAAGCACTTTTTGTTCTTCTCTTAATGGTAATTAGAATAGCTGTAATTTTTCCTTATAGTTAGGAAAGTGATTTTCGCTTAAGTCATCAAGTCATCAACAGTCCCTAAAAGTAAAAGGAAAAATGTTTTAACTTGCCAAAAAGAAAGAGTCAACATAAAAATACTGAATCGCACTCAAAATACTGTTTTAGCTTAATTTTCCCTTTGCGGTATAGTTACATGGGACCATATACTGTAGACAGAGAGTGACTGTCTGAAAAAGTTTCTTTGGAGGATGTAAAGCTTCTGTATTACTTCTTAAAACATGAAAAGTAATGTGAAAATGGAAGACATCTAGGTTTTTAAGATTGCTCACTGTCATGTTTTACACTGCATTCCTGCAGTGGAATTCCTTTTAAGGCATTGTGACTGATCAGACAGGTTTTCTTAGTAACACATTTACTATAAAAGATCTCTTTAATTCTCAAGATCTTCATGTCTTTGGAACTGGGCTGCAAGACGGCAGTATAGAGACTATCCAATAAATTGCATTTTAAATGGACATTTGGGTAGGAAAAGTAGACTAGTAACTTTTGCTTTTGTGGCTACCACTTTGTTATATGCTGTACAACAAAATAACAGATATTAATTTATCAAAAGTGATTTTACTTTAAAAAAATAAAATGGGTAAAGATTCAAGAGAGAAAGATACCTAGAGTTGTCAAGGGTATATAAAATGGACTCTCTCATACTTAACTTTGCCCGTGGGAATTAGAAAGCCTTTGATACATATTGGATAACTAGCATTATCTATCAGAAACCTTAAAAAGTTACATACCCTTTGACCTAACAATTCTACTTCTAGGAAATTTATCTAAGGAAGTAATTGGACGCAAAAATGTGTATGGGAAGAAAAATAACAAAAGGCTGTAAACCCTAGTGTAGCATAACAGTGTCATCTCAGATTTGGAGAGTGTACCGAGGCCCCATCCCCCATCTTGGAGTGCAGGTATAATGTCCAGTTCTGCTGTTGGCCACTGTCTTGCCATCCCTTCCTTCCTCTCAGCCTGTACGGAGTCTTCCCTGGGGATCCACATTAGCTAAAACAAGGCTTTGGGAGCTGTTTTTATCTTTTCAGAAATACTGTTTCAAAACTAAAAAAGTAAAACAAAATGCTGGTTTTTCCTTACTGATTCTTTTAAATTTTATCCATCCAGCATAATAATGCTGGACAGCTCATGTTTAATAGAAGCTGTGGTCAGCACCTTAGTCTAGTAATAAAACTAAAGGGAAAGAAATTTTAAATGCAGCTTCATAGACAAATTGGTCAGAACACAAAGAGACAAGCAGTACAAAGTACATAGGCTATGGAGACGGGTAGACTTGGGTTGTGATCCCAACTCTGTTACTTATTAGTTGGGTAATCTGGGCAAGTTGCTTAACCTTTTTAAGCTCCATGGTTTCCACTTTGATAAAGGGGGACAATAAAATCATTAAATAAAATTACTAGATAGAGCTGCGCATAGTAATAACTCACTCTTACTTCCAGGCACAGTTCTAAGTGCTTTGCACACAACACATTTAATCCTCTCAGTAGTTCTGAGGTGGTTTTGTTGTTATCTGCATTTACAGACGAGGAAATTGAAGCACAGAAAGGTTATATAACTTGCACAGGTCATACCCCAAGTAATGGAGAAAAGAGTTGAACCCAGATCTTTCGATTCCAGCGCCTAAGCTCTTCACTACTTCACGGTACTGCCTCTCCAGCCAGAACAGTGCCTCATCCTTGGAAGAAAACAGTGTCTGTAGTGGTAAAAAGACAGAGGATTACTGTCCTAACCCACTGTCTGCCATGGTGACCACTAGGATTTTTATATAAAAATGAGACAGGCAGGGGGATAATTGTCTACCATATTGACTAGAGGCTTACATTCTGTTTCTAGAACTACATCTGGCACATATTAGGAATTTTCCTCAGGTGTAATTATCTACAACAGAGACCTGGTTACATGGGCTGTGAGTTGCTGGTAGAAGTTAGCTTCTCGCTCGTAAATAACATAATGACTTACAATTTGAAGGCTTCCCACCTACCCGTGAAAGCAGTAGTTTTCCATAGGCAAACGAAACCTCACTTGTTTTTCCGGTCATTAGTAATGAAGCATAGTCACTTGACTTGGCTAAAGGTAGAAGGACATACAAATAAACTTTATCAATTCCATTCTTTCTATGTAGGAGACATCCCCACACTGAACATTTGGAAGTACTTATAGAATTTTAGATCTAGAAGAGGAAACCAAGATCCAAATGGTTAAATTGCCCCAAATCTCACATCTCATAGTTGCACGTGGTCCTCTGAGCCCTTGTGTGTTGCTCTTCCCTGCACTGCCTGCTGGCGGCACTATCCAGGATACTTGAAGGAACTGCAGCAGCGTAATTAAGTTCTTAAGCAGATGCTTAATGAACACCTGTAATGTGAAAGATCTTGTGTTAAGTACTGAGGATATGAAAATTAAATTCTTGACTTCAGTCACAGGAAACAGACATTTAAACAGATACTTATGATATAGCTAAGTATTACAATTGAGGTACTTTTCTTCTTTTAACCTTTTATTTTATCTTTCTACTGGATCATGAACTCCTTAACTTATAAAATAGTAGTCATGAAACAAAGCTCAAAAAACTGGAAGTTTTCTGAAGATAATATTAACACAGCTAGTGTATGTCAACTAAAAGGTGACTTGCATTGATAAGCTGTGATACCTGTGTGCGTGTGTGTTTATTATGTTAAGGCAATGTTTCTTGCTGTTCCTACAGAGCAGTTGATAAACACGTTACTATGAGTCTGCTACACTGTGAAAACAGCTGTGGATCCAGCCAGTCTGAAAGTGACTGCTGTGCGGCTATGGCCAGCTCCTGTTGCGCTGCAGCAAAAGATGACAGTGTGAGCGGGACTGCCAGCACGGGGCATCTCTCCAGCTCTTTCATGGAAGAGATCCAGGGGTACGATGTGGAGTTTGACCCACCCCTGGAAAGCAAGTATGAGTGCCCCATCTGCTTGATGGCATTACGGGAAGCAGTGCAAACACCATGTGGCCATAGGTTCTGCAAAGCCTGCATCATCAAGTCAATAAGGTACGAGAGCATAAGAAAGAACCATGTCCTGTAATGGAACGAAGTACAGAGAGCATTATTGTGGAGAACACAGGGCATCCCGAGTCTTATACATAAAAACTACTTGGGGAGAAAGGACATTGGAAGAAAATTGAGAAATTTATGTTCTTATCCCAGTTCCTACAGTGGCATGAAAGATAATTTCTATCTCCTCCCTCTTCTGAGTCTCAGATATATAAATAAGTAAATAAGTAGCTACTTTTACTTAACGCAGTTCTCTTGCTGTTGCAGACTAGAGTGTGTCTCTATGCTTTAAGAAAATAATCTAAAATAAATGTACCTTAAATGATGATGCTACTAAAATACGATAATCTCAACCATACAAAGAATGGTGATCTAAGTGATCAGTTATTCTGATTTTTAGCCATGTTAAATTCTGTTACGTGATGTCTATGGACAACTGTAAAATAACCCGCATTTTTAAAGAAAGTATTAATTGATGGTTCTACCTTCATAATATATCCAAAATTCAGTCCCTCCTCACTGCCTCCACTGCTACCACCCTGATGTGAATCACCCTTAGCTCTCCCACAGGCCTCCCTGTTTCTGCCCTTGCCTTCTTCCAGGCTGTTCTCATAGAGCAGTGGAGTGAGCCTGGTAAAATAAGTAAGACGTGTCGTCTCTGCTCAGAGCACCGCAGCAGGTCATGTGGGAGTAGCAGCCAGAGTCCTTGTAAGGCCCTGTATGTTAGGTCCATAAGCTGTTTTCTGACCTCCTCTCTACAACTCTCCTTCCTCCACTGATTCACTCTGCTGTTCCTTGAGCATGTCAAGCATGCTTCTGCCTTGGGGAGTTGGCTGTTCTCTCTGCTTGGAACACTCTTACTTCAGCTAACTGCTTAGCTGACACCCTTTCCTCCCTCCACTGCGGCTCAGATCTCACCTCATAGCTACCCCGGCCACCCTCTTTACACCACAGCCTGCCTCCCCTACCTCCCGCCACGCTCCAGTCTCCCTTACCTACCTTTCTTGTTTTCTTTAGCACTTTTCACCTTCACAAGTTCCGGATAACTTGTGTGTTTATTGTCTGCTTGCCCAACTGGAAATAAGCTTGAGAGCAGGGGTTGAGATCTGTTTTATTTCTTGATGTTTCCTAAGTGCCAGGAACAGTCCTGACGCACAGTAGGTGCTCAGTAAATTATGGTTGCTTTAACTGAATGAAGGAAGGTGTGGAATTTCCACAAATGATTCAAATTCATCTCCTAAGAAATAGATACATTTTACTGGAATTCAGAAGTAGATGGGAATATTTTTAGGTGACTGAGGAGTTCTGTACAGAAAAAAAATTGGAAGAAGTGGGGAGATTTTATGTTCTTCAGTAAATAAGCATCTAGTTATATTGGTGAAATCATTTTTAAGTAGATTAGGCTGGCTATTTACTAGTCTTTTAAATTTCTCTTTAACTTTTATATTCACGTTTTTCCTTTCTTTTTTTTTCTTTTGGCATCCTTGTGTCTAGTTTTAGTATCAGGATAATGCTGGCCTCGTAAAATGAGTTTGGAGTTATTCCTTCCTCTTCTGTTTTCTGGAAGAGTTTGAGAAGGATTGTATTAATTCTTTAAATGTTTGGTGGAATTTGCCAGTGAAGATGCCTCGTCCTGGATATTTGTTTGTTGAGGTTTTTGATTACTGATTCACTCTCCTTACTAACTGGTCTGTTCACATTTGCTTCATGATTCAGTCTTGGTAGGTCGTATGTTTCTAGGAATTTGTCCATTTCTTCTAGGTTGTCAAATTTGTTGGCATATAATTGTTCATAGTAGCATCTTATGATCCTTTGTATTTCTGTGGTATCAATTGTAATATCTCCTCTTTCATTTCTGATTTTGAGTCCTCTCTCTCCTTGTGAGTCTAGCTAAACTTTTCTGTAAAATTTGCATTTAGGGTAACCACATCCATGCTTGGGACTTGGCTTAATTTAAATTACAAGGGAGCATATGTCTTGTTTCCATTTTTCAGAAAAACGTGTTACCCAGTGTTGAACTGGCAAGATCGATTTAGGGTAGGTTTTCTCAACCTGTTCACTATTGGTGTTTTGAGCCAGATAATTCTTTGTTGTGGGAGAATGTCCTGCATGTTATAGGATGATTTAACAGCATCCCTGGATGCTGTAATATCCCCCCTTCCCCAATTGTGAGACCCAGAGTGTCTCCAGACATTGCCAAATGTTCCAGGGGAAAAATTGCCCCGGTTGAGACCACTGGTTTAGGGTATACATAAGAGCACTGTTAAAGGCTCAACTTTCTTCCTGTTTATAATGATTTTGATTTACATTGTATTTCAGTAAAAATAGTACCATATTATGGATGGTTGATTTTCCTGTAGGTAGAGATGTACAGTATTTTCCCAAGTGTCACTGATTCCCAGGAAGAGAGCTAATCTTTAGCAGTTTTTTAATTGCAAGATATTCATGAAAGTAGCGGGACAGTGGCCTGGAAAGGAAGTAAAACCCACAAAGGAAGTCTGAGGCTTTTTTTTTTTTCCCTATCTCCCTCTAAGCTAGAAATGATCACTTAATTTAACACTAAATGTTCTTAAAGGAACAGCTCTGAAATTTCTCATCTGTTATAGTCATTCAGAGAATCAAAATGCATCTCAATCCAATTCCATTTTCTTTTGGAGTCATTGCTAATGCTGTGGATAATGGTTTCCAGTGTACTTTGTGAGGTTCTTTTTATTTTCTTTTAGACATCCATCACCTAGGTTTTGAGTATATATTTCAATACATTTGTTTATGGCTTTCTGTGCTTCTCAGAAAATATTTGACAGTGTAATAATAACATTATGCAGTCTGAGAGAGGTCCCATAAAGATTGATTATGTCTCTCATCTTTATTAGTTCTAAGGCATTTGATGGCAGATCTCATTTTTCAGCACTTTTTACCTACGGCAGCGATAACATCGTTGGTTTACAAGTAGGAGGTGCGCAGTAATGTTCAAGTGATTATTAGTGCTCCTGTAGCCGACCTGACCTGCCACATTTTGTGAGTGAAGATTGAGACGTCCCCAAAATTAAAGGAGAATGACAGACACCCCAGCTTCCTGGGGATGATTTTTCCTGTCATAAGGTGGGATAAACCACTGGGAAGCAGGACATAGAGCTCCTCTAACTCCCTACTACAGTTGCACACTAGACATAAAATTAAAAGGAAACCTTCTGTTGCCCATGAGCCAGAGTGTTATAATGACTGTTCAGAGTAAACCCTAAAATGTGGCCTTGTAGGGGAACTGCTAATTGGTTTAATTTTTCCTTATGACTGAGCATTACGCCGTAGACTTGTTATTAATGTTATGAGCAGCATATTTAGTTCCATCTCACTAGTATGTTGTATAGCTGCTGACAGAACAGAGGCCTGCCCAACTGCCCAAGTTCCCATCCTTAACTTTCACTTCATTTTATGCCAATCAAAATACGATTCTATTCAATTCATTTTGCAGTTGGAATCTATCCCATGATCTAAAATCCCGTAGTTTTTTATAGGTAACTAGTATGGTGCTAGTTGTATTCATTTCGTAAAAGAACAGTTCATAAACTGTCTATTAAAAGGACAGGTTATTTTGGTGATATTATGCCATATAATGTGTTAAATTATTTTCTATAGGAAATAATAAATGGAGAATTTATATGTGGTGAATTGAAGTTGTTTGTATTTTCTAATGTGAATGTTTAAATCTACTAAATGTGTGTATCTTATTTGTTCTAGGGATGCAGGTCACAAATGTCCAGTTGACAATGAAATACTGCTGGAAAATCAGTTATTTCCTGACAATTTTGCAAAGCGAGAGATTCTTTCTCTGATGGTGAAGTGTCCAAATGGAGGTTGTTTGCACAAGATGGAACTGAGGCATCTTGAGGTATCAAAGTTGTTTTCTAGCTGCAAGCATATATGCGAGGCAGCACCTGAGAATAGGGACTTTGCTGTGTCCATCTGTGTTTTGCTGGTACTTAGCATATAATAATTGATTAGTAAAGGCTTGCTGAATTAATACCAACCCTTTCATTATTGAATATAAATATATAGTAATCCCCCCCTTATCTGCGGTTTCACTTTCCACAGTTTCAGTTACCTGCAGTCAGCTGTGGTCCAAAAATATTAAATGGAAAATGCCGGAAATAAGCAGTTCATAAGTTTTAAATTGCGTGCTGTTCTCAATAGCATGATGAAATTTTGGGCCATCCTGCGCGGGGTGTGAATCATCCCTTTGCCCAGCATGTCCACGCTGTATATGCTTACCTGCCTGTTAGTCACTTAGTAGCCATCTGGGTTATCAAATCGACTGTTGCGGTATCACAGTGCTTGTGCTTAAGTCACCCTTATTTTCCTTAATGATGGCCCCAAAGCTCAAGAGTAGTGATGCTGGCAGTTCAGATGTGCCAGGAAGCCTTAAAGTGCTTCCTTTAAGTGAAAAGGTGAGAGTTCTCAACTTAATATGAAAAGGAAAAAAAAATCGTATGCTGAGGTTGCTAAAATCTATAGTAACTTTTATTACAATATGTTGTTACAATTTGTTCTATTTTATTATTAGTTATTGTTGTTAATCTTCTACTGTGCCTAATTTATAAAGTATGTATAGGAAGAAACATAGTATATATAGTGTTCATCCCTGGTTTCAGGCATCCACTGGGGGTCTTGGAACTTATCCCCTGCAGATAAGGGGGGCTATTGTAAGTAGAAACCAGAAATTTCTTATTCCATTCTACTCTGGCTTTGTCCCAGTGATAATAAAAAAGAAATCAGTATTCTTCTACAAGTTTTTTGGGTGAACATTATCTGCAGTAAAACTGAAGAGCATTTTAAATACAAGTGTCCCATTTTAATCCCATAGCTTCATTTCTCTCATTTTGAAATAAGCAACAAGTCCCATGTAGCCATCATACTTTTTCTTTGTTTTTCTAAATTGTGCATTGTATTATGAACTAAATAGAGTCCTCCTATAGCTTGAGATTAACTGAAGCAATCAGATAAAATAATTTGCTTTTAAATTAAATCAATTCTTAGGTTGGTGGTTTTACAAGAAATTAAATATTGTCTATGTTCTATTTGAAATTAAATGTTTAAAACATATTTGCAACTTATCCCCTTAGTTCCTTTTGAAGGAGTGGCCCTTTTGACAGTACAAAATTGATATTCAGAAAATCTAACTTCTTTCCAACTCTCCTCCTTAATTGGATACATGAACTTGAAAATTCAGTCTTCATGTAAACTTGCAATTCACAACCATTATCTGAAAAAATTCATTAAGGCCTTCATATTGTGGTTCTGTGGTATGTACTAGAAAAGTAGTTTCAGTAGCCAATTTCATAAAAGAAAACAGTATATGCTTAGAATAGATTATATTGAGATTTTTTAAGGATTGGCGAATACTAATTGATTATTTTTTCCTTATTATAGGATCATCAAGCACATTGTGAGTTTGCTCTTATGAATTGTCCCCAATGCCAACGTCCCTTCCAAAAATGCCAACTTAATATTCACATTCTCAAGGAGTGTCCGAGGAGACAGGTTTCTTGTGTAAACTGTGCTGTATCGATGGCATTTGAAGATAAAGAGGCATGTACTAACTTGGATTTGTTAATTCCACTACTAAAAAAGTGTTTTTTTAATGTACATTTGAGGGGTTAGCGGTAGATGAGGATGTTAGTCCAATTCTGAGTCTGTATTATCAATTGCAGAAAGATTGATTTTTTAAAAAAAAAGTTCAATAAACCATTTTAGTAACTAGTGTAGGGTTTATATTTGCATGTCTTGCTTAGAAAACATTGTTTATACTCCTTGCCACTGTAGTAGATCTGCAGGTAACAAAAGCTACAGGAAAGACATGCTGATCTGCTTTCCTATGTGATGTTTTAATGACCAGTCTTGGATGAGAGACAAACAAGTAGAATGAATGATTACTGCATAAGACTTACACTTTTCTCTTTGAAACAGAGAATGAGTTGTTGAAACTTTTATGGAGAATAAATTAAATCACACAAAATGTATTCCTTTGGTGATTATTCATAGAGCTATACACATACAATGAATACACTTTTCTGTACTTATGTTATACTTCAATTAAAACGTTTATCTTTAAAAATAAATGTTGTGGCACCTGATGGCATCATGTTGATAGAGCAGTTTTTCCGTTCAGAATCTGAGATGTAGAGAGGTTAAGTAATTTTATATTAATATTGTCAGTGGCAAAGCTAGCACTGAGATCCTAGTCCTAGGTTTGTCCTATGTCCTCTTTACTAAAATAACCTGCATGTAATTTTTCTTTTATAGTTAAGACACTTCCTTAAATTTTATTTCTCATAAATTCATCTTGATAATTTTCCCTACTTTCTTATGAGATCAAGCATATTATACTCATTAAGTTGATGAAACATTCAAAAAAAGTCAACTAACTTGCTAAAAATGGAGAGGAGTCTGAGGCATAATTAGAGCAAATTGACATCTTCCTAAACCTCAGTAAATTAAATGGACTTAACCTGGAAGGTCTGTTACTTCTTAAATTCCTTGTATTCTAGAAAACAAGGCTCGCCCTTCCGGGGCCTGTGAGAACCTGAGCACCAAGCTTCCTGCCCTAACAATGCTTCTGTTCTCTAACCCTCCTGATAGGAGTGTTCATGAAATCATCCTGATGCTGCTGGGAATTTTTGGAAGAGTTCCTTTGGAGAATATAGTGTTGGTAAATGATGTCCAAACTAGTCACAGATGCTCTGCCTCAGGTTAAAAGAAGTGATTTAAAAGATTCTCTTTTGTGTGCGACCATATTCTTTTAAAGAGCTGGAAGGAGAGATGAATCTCATTATTATACTGGGAAAGGGAGAGAAAATAACCTTTTTGTTTTACACACATCGATGTCCTTAATTTGTTCACAGTGAAAAAAATATTTTTTATAAAAATAGGTTGTTTTTACTTTTTCCTATTTTCTCATGCTTTTCTTATATTTTTCTAATAAAATTTAGATCCATGACCAGAACTGTCCTTTGGCTAATGTCATCTGTGAATACTGCAATACCGTGCTCATCAGAGAACAGGTATCATGATTCCGTTTCATAAATTAATATTTCCATAAATTAATGAGTTAGGTTTTTAATTGAAAATTTAAATCAGTAAGCCAAAATGAATACAGGTTGAAGAAGTATTAGAACTCTGAAAATTTTTCATATAAATTAATATAATAAATACTTTAATAAGAAAAAAATAGCCCTCTCTGAGTACTTAAAATTTGTAAGTCATTAACATAATATCCATGTTTATGTATATTCATTAAAGTTCCAAACAAAACCGGGTAATTTTAAGATAAAAATAATCAAAAATCCCCATTTAAAGAAAAAAAAACTTTAAGAAATAGGTATTTACACACTGTGAAATAAGGTTCTTAGGTATCCAGAGACCAGGTGAAAGAGAGAGAATAATGAAATCAAAGAAAGTAAGTCTGTTCAGTAGCAGGACATTATTTGTAGCCACAGCCCCTGGGATGTATTGGGAGATTTTAAGATTTCCGGGATCTGTAGCCCCTCTGTTTGGTTGTCCTTAGACCACTGGTGGAGCACCATCAGAAGTAGGAGTTATAATAGAAAACTTACATTTTTATTATTAATAGAGAAAGGAAAATTCCATCTGATTGCTATCTTCTGACATTTGGGGAGTTTACCCACAAAATGTGAATATTAGTCACTAAATATTTATATACCCGTGAAATCTGCAAACCCAGAGATCATAAATTGATTACCTTACTAAGTAGAAGCAAGCAAAACCTGTCATTCGACTAAACTTTTCCATTTGTCTGTTAACAGAGTCCTTTAGTTTTTTTTCCAACAAAGCTTTAATTTGAAGGTGTTAAACTTCTTTTTGCTTATGAAGTCTCACCTCCCTGGTTTTCCTTTTTGCTCTATTTTGATATTTAAAGGAAACCATGCAGCACATCTAAAACCCAGCAAACATAAAACTTAATGTAGGAAAAAACCCTAGGTTTTGACCCTGGATGTGCCACTGACTTGCCCATTGATCTCTGGCGAGAAAGTTGACATTCTAGATCGGGGATCAGCAAACCAGCCTGCCAGCCAAACCTGGCCTGTTTTTGTAAATAAGTTTTATTGGAACACAGCCATGCCCATGTATTTATGTGTTGTACGTGGCTGGTTTTGTACCACAAGGGTTGAGTTAGTACTTGGGACAGAGACCATAGGGCCTACAAAGCTGAAAATATTTACTATCTGACCCTTTACAAAAAATTTTGCTGATCAATCTTCTGGAGTATGTGAAACGAAGGGTTGGAGTAAATGGTCTCTAAGTCATTTCTGCTTAAAATATAACTATAATCAAATTAAATTTCTAAAGAGAATTTAGTACCACTTTCAAAGAATACGATTCTGTGTAATGGATCTTACCTTAAAGAATGTGCTTTAGAGTCCCCAAATCAAAGGCTGAGACTTTCTTTAGAACTTGTAATAATGTGCTTAAAATACCTGCTAACATCTGAGCCAAAACATTGTAGCCAAAACATGCCCAGGTTAACAAAAAGTGAGACGATTTATGAAAGGCAGTCATGAGGGAAGTACTGAATGCAGGCTGTGGCTTTAATGTATGCAATGGACTGTCCCTGTTAAATGGCCTTGACCCCAGTGAGCGTCTTGGTTGAGTTTGCAGTTGTGGTTGACATCAGAAAGTGCTTTTTCTTTACAGTGGCAGTAGAGGGTGCCAGTTCCCAGCAATAGGAACAAATTTATTTTCTTGAATTCTGAGTGATTTGGGGGGATGGTATGCAATGTTGGTATTTCCTCTCTCTGTGACTTTTAGAAGTAAATAGTACTTTAATCTTTGTGAGCTACACGGTTTCTGTTGCACCTACTCTGCCACTGTGACGCAGAAGCAGCCATAGACAGTACATGATTTTATTTAGATGAAATGTAAATCTTCATTTCAATTGTGATCTCATCAAACTAGAATATGATATTCAGAGAATCATTTTTCAACTTTTATTTTGGTTTTCAGATGCCTAATCACTATGATCTAGACTGCCCTACAGCCCCAATTCCATGCACATTCAGTACTTTCGGTTGCCATGAAAAGGTAAGGTGTTTTTTTTTTTCTTTCAATTCTTAAATGTAGATCAAGAAAATTCAGTCATATATTGTAGTGGAGAATACCAGTGGGAATGGAGATGGTTGACACGCATCGTATATGTGGTTTTAAGCTCTGAAGAGAAATTGGGACTCAGAATATGGATTTGCGTAAGTAGTTTGTGATGATAATGGAAGGTGTGATTGAGATCATATAGAGAAGTGTGTACAGGAAAGAGAAGTAGACCACGAAAGGAGCCATGAATGAACAGTCTTAGAAATTAATGAAACAAGCAAGAAGAAAGTATTGTTATGATCTCCAAAATTAGTTTCAAGACTAGGGATCAGTTGTGTGAAATGTCTGAGATAGATCATTATTTATGATTAGTCGTTCTTTCTGGAGAGTGAGGTTACACTTTTGCTTTTCCATTATGCTTTTTTAATCTGACTTTTTTTATAATACGCATGCATTTAATAATTTAATAAATAAAATGAACAAATAGTATATAGTATGAGTACATTTTGTGAGAAAATTCTCTATTGTTTGTATGCTTAGAAGAAAAAGACTTGAAGGAAATGTATCAAAATGTTAATGGTAGTTAGCTGAGATAATAGGTAACATTTTCTTTTTGATCATCTATACTTTCTATTTTTCTCTAATGTACATGAATTACCCTTACAGTAAAAATTGTTATATCATGAATATTTTTTTCATATAATAATTAGAATGTTCCCGATGACCTTAGAAGAGTATAAGACAGGAAAGATTCCATTTTCCAATAGATTTGTAAAATGAGGAATTGGGAACAGTGCAGGTGGACTACTCTTAGTTATAAAAGGAAGAGGGAGAAAATGGTATTAGCTAGAGGGAGAGACAGATCAATAGAGAGGTTTGCCTCTTTTTTTAATGAGAAAGACTTTAATAATTATATACTGAGGGGCAGAGTTGGGGGGTGGAGAGAATGTTTGAAGAGAAAGGGGATAACTGAGCAGAAGCTCTGAGGTGCTGAAAAGGGTGGGTGCCAGTCAGAGCCCGGTGCAGCATTAATGTTGGACAGGAGGAAAGTCATCTCTGAGTCAGAAGAGAAGGATGGGTGTAGATACTTTTATAGGTGGGAGGGAGATTTATCTGCGTGAAAGCTGAGAGAGTATTCTGCAGATAGCCTCAGTTTTTCAGTAAATTATGAGGCAAGATCATCTCATTGGATTGAGAATCTGATGAAGACAAAGCAGGTTGTAGGGGATTGAGGGAAGTGGTAACGTTACTTAAAAACCTTTTATGTGACTTGGCTAGGTCCCTTTCCTAGGCCTCACAGTATCTATTCCCAACCTGAGGCTTGTTCGTGATTTTTAGATGCAGAGGAATCACTTGGCCCGCCACCTGCAAGAGAATACCCAGTCGCACATGAGAATGTTGGCCCAGGCCGTTCAGAGTTTAAGCCTTGCTGTAGCTCCCGTACCTCAACGCGATATGCTTCCATATGAATCTCCCTCTCTTCCCCGGGTTTCCTCTGGGTGTCACCCAGAGGTCCAGAATTTCCAAGAAACCATTCAACAGTTAGAGGGTCGCCTTGTAAGACAAGACCATCAAATCCGGGAGCTGACTGCAAAAATGGAAACTCAGAGCAATTATGTAAGTGAGCTCAAACGAACTATTCGAACCCTTGAGGACAAAGTTGCTGAAATAGAAGCACAGCAATGCAATGGGATTTACATCTGGAAGATTGGCAACTTTGGCATGCACTTGAAATCTCAAGAAGAGGAGAAACCAGTTGTCATTCATAGCCCTGGATTCTACACAGGCAAACCTGGCTACAAACTTTGCATGCGCCTGCACCTCCAGTTACCAACCGCTCAGCGCTGTGCAAACTATATATCCCTCTTTGTCCACACGATGCAAGGAGAGTATGACAGCCACCTCCCTTGGCCCTTCCAGGGTACAATACGCCTTACAATTCTTGATCAATCTGAAGCACCTGTAAGACAGAACCATGAAGAGATAATGGATGCCAAACCAGAGCTGCTTGCCTTCCAGAGACCCACAATCCCACGGAACCCAAAAGGTTTTGGCTATGTGACTTTTATGCACCTAGAAGCCCTAAGACAAAGAACCTTCATTAAGGATGATACTTTATTAGTACGCTGTGAGGTCTCTACCCGCTTCGACATGGGTAGTCTTCGGAGGGAAGGTTTTCAGCCACGAAGTACTGATACAGGGGTATAGCATCCCCTCATTTGTTTAAAAACAAAAATCCATCTGGAGAAAACTGCCTTTCCTTGCCCTGTTCTCAATAATAATATGCACACAGTGAAAGCAGTGGGAGAGATGTAATACCCACCCGTGAATGTGGTTAGAGAGGTTACTTCCCACTTCTTCCTGTTACAGATATCTGAAGCAGTTTTTTCTTGGGAATATACATGCATTTTCAAACTTGTTGCAACTGAAGTGCCTGTGGCATATTGCAGCAGCTGTTTGTTGATTCGTATACCTCTTTGTTGTACTTTCAGGGGCTTTTGCTCAAGTGTGTTTTAATGTCAAAAAGCCCAGAGTTGGAATAGTAAAGCTCAAACCTTTTAACAATAATGGACGTTCAGACTTCAGCTTATGTGATAGTATTACCTGTAATGTGTTAAATTTGAGAATCACTACTGCCCCCTGCTGGTGCCAGCAAGAAGAGTTATTACTCTAGAGTTGAGTTCTCATTTTATTTGACCTCCTGTAGATTTCAGAGGATTTGAACCTTAATCCGTGAAAAGCTTAAGTTCTCATTTACCCCTTTTTTTCCCCCCAGTGTGTTTACTAAACATATTCAGGGACTAGTTTAAACCCTAAATATAACCTTACTTATTTAGTGTGAACATGTTGTCTGTTGAATAATTCTTTATAAGTGTTTCATTCTACCTTACATATTTCTTTGAGGCTACAAAGTAGCATCTTCATCAGAGTTGAGAATGCTGAGAACCAGATGGCTACCAACTGCTCATGTTATGCTGTAAATCCCTTTTTGTCTGTTCAATGCAGAGTGAATTCCACAGCCCTGCCTATGTTCCCTGTTGCTTAATGGTTGTAGGACAAGGAGATGCACACACATAATCACTAACATAAAAGTTAAAAATGATTCAGTCAACCAATATAGCATCTCATTGGTGGTGACAAAGGCTATTTGAGCCAGAAATTTTCAGCTCTTGAATAGCCTCTGGTGTTTAGTTCAATTAAATAGAAAAAAATTGATTTCCTAAAAGCAGAATTTTTTAATACTTGGGAAATCATTGGCCATGCTTGAGAGGCACCAAACTAGGTTGGAAGTCATGTGATCATATTGGGACTTGCTTGAATAGATTGCTTTAGTCCAACAATTCATACCTGAGGAGGATCATGTGGAATGTATTGAAGTGGCCAAATGTTCATAATAGGGAGAGGATTTTTGTGTCACTATATATCCATTGAGGGTCTGTAGATAATAAATATTATGGTGAAATCGAAGGGAGTTTCTCAGGGAGTCCCACAACTAGTATAGGCTCTTATAAAGAATCTAAGAGGACCCATGCACCATGCTGTTTACACAAGATTGTTTGAAGTTGTCTAGACATGAGGGATGGGGCTTTATCTCCAGAGAGGCCAGATCAGCCCCCTGACCAGCATTTAAGAGCAGCCTTCATTTGAAGAGGAGGCCAGCAGACTTAGCCTGTGGAGAAGAATGGTTTCGGTTCCAGGCAGATTCAGCAAGTGTCACTTTGAGCTTTCCCCTTACTTTTCTCTCTACCCTCCACCCCACCCCACGTTTAGGCTCCTGCTCTGGTGGGTTTGTCACCCAGAGATCCGCGCCCCGGCGCCACCGTCAGGACCACCTGCTCATCAGCAATCTTTGTCCCTTGGCTACTGTGCCTTCCAGGCAGCTCCGGTGGATCGTGGCAGCACCACCCTCGAGGTGGGAACCCTGCACCGCTGTTGCTCCTGTGATTGTTGTTCAGTGAACAAATATTTGTCAGCTCCATTTAAAAAGCAAATGGTAGTTATTTTCTTCTTGTTGCATAGAAAAAGCCTGAAGGAAATATACTAAACTATTTTTGATGACTTATTTTCTTCTTTGTGCTCTTTTATATGTTGTACATTTTCTACTATAAACGTGTACTTTTATCAGAGAAATTAAATGTTGCCACAAAACATTCAACCCCACCAAAAAAGGAAATGATATTTAAAAGCTTTCTGGTCAAATGTCTATTAAAAGCATGGCCATGCATTAGGTATTGAGGTGAGTCATTTCCTGCTTTGGTTGTGTTATTTTTTTCTATTAACTCAGGAGTCCTAATCCAAACAAAAGCAGTGTTTTGCCTAACTTCAGCTTCCCTGAGCTGCAGGTTTCCCATCTGTAAAAGAAGGAGGGGAATAGATGTTTCTCAGGTCCACTCCGACCATAAAATTCTGTTTTAAGAATTAAGTTCTAACCAGCAGAATGTTGATAATACTTAGAAAAAGATTTTGCCAGGAGAAAATTGCTTTAACTTATTTTTTGTTGACAATACTGTACTTCAATTTAGTGTCCATCAACTGGGTCTCATCTTAATTTTAATAAGCAATTTTTTTAACCCCCAATATTTGTCATTTTGTAGTAAACCAGCCACTTATTTTATGCTGGTCATTCATTGTGACTATAGAATAAAAGTAATGGTCAAACTGTCATTCCAAATAGAAACTTTTGTTAAGACTTCAACTCAGAACCAAGTCTTACCTGGAAAGCTGGTCTCTTCCTTATATTTTGCAAATCTCCTGCCCCACTCTGAAACATGCAAGTTGCACCCAGTTGGCCTACAGGTATTTGGGCCATGTATTTATATTTTATTAACCTTTTAACATATTTATCTTTTGACATCATTCTTGGACATTGCTAACTTAAAAATAAAGTCTCCTCTTTTCCCAAAGATGTCCAACCCAGTGCTGGATGGAACTGGCTGCAAGTCATACATTTTGCTGTTGGAAAACCAGTCAGAGTGTCAATTTGTAATTTGATAGTTTTTTTACCGTCTTCTGGCTGTTGCGGCAATGACATTTTCTGGCTATACTACAACATGATTCATCTTTTATTTGGGGAATCAAAATAGAATAGAAAAAGTGAAATAGAATGAAAGGTGAGTTTTTCCCCTAATGATATAGAGATGTTGGATGATCTCTAGCAATTAGTTTTGTGCAGATATAAAGTTGTCCTCTATTACTGTTTTTATATCAGTATGTCTTAGATAAACTAAGAGCATGTTTATGAATTATGCATGCAGTTAGAGTACGTTCTTAAAGAGGAGCAGTGGCTTGTCATTCCTTTCTCCAGGGAATCCTCAAGTTTCTGGTGACCAGAAAACATTTTTAATTATTAGAGAGGTTTTCCTAATTTAAGACTTGGAAGTACTTTTCCTTTATTCAGTTACTGCCGCTCTTTTCTTGGCTTGCCTCAGTTAAATTCTACTCTTGTTTTATATGAAGTACCATTAGGAGTTTTTGTGATGCCTAGTTCCACAGAACCTAAGCAGTGTAGTGCCGTAAGGAAATGAAAAAGGGACAGTAAATAGTCATTTGTATTTTTCTTTTGAAATAACATTTTTTTAAATTTCCAGGTTCACCTGATAAGCTGTAGTCATTTCCACAGTTGTTGTGGTGTCTGTAGAATGGAGTTGGCACTTCCAAATTCCCAGTAACCAGAAAGATGATCTGATGAAATCAAATTAGATGGGTCTCTGCAGATCGTAACATTCCATTACTGCCTTCACTTTTAGTCAAAGACAGACACTTGCAAGAAGACTCCCAGTTGTTTCACTAAATGTCATCTAAGCTTTTAATATTTTAAAGCCTTTTCCTCCCCCAAAATTCAGGTAGTTGTTATAAAATATACTGAAAAATAATTCTAGATGGGGAAAACATTGTCTGGAGTGAGGAGATTGGTGCTCCTTTTTCTCTCAGGGTGCTTTCTCAGCAGGACACAGTCCCCTTTAGGACAGGAGGGAAGGGGGACGGACGCCCCTGCTCTCTCAAAGCCTGAGACTCTGAATGCAGGTGCAGTCCACTCCCAGAAAGGCACCGAGGCACAGCTGCGATGCTGCTCCTGAGCCATTTCCTCTGAAAGGCAGAGCCTCATCTCATTAGAGCGTCCTTGCCTCCACTGATTGCATTTATCCAGCATTCTCCCAGCTAGATTTCAGGGTAAAAGCTCACGTTTCAGTGGAGAGAAGGGAATGTGAATTCCTTGTTCCAAGAAGGAAATGCTGTCAGTGGTCCCAGAAGCCTGTTCTCTTCCACCCGTGGTCGGCAGAAGGTAAACAGCGTGACCGGACACTGTCTGCTACTGAAACCTAGCACAGTGCCTGGCACGCAGCGGACATTCACATGGCTAATAGTGAACACCTCGTGGAAATACTTGTTGAAGCTGGCCAATTTCTGGTAGCTTATATGTCACCTAAGTTTTAGGTGGTAAGGCATAGGTGTTACTTTCTGTGCTTTTTTTCCCCAACACTTTATTATGAAATTCTTCAAACACGCAGAAATGTTAAAACAATTGTACAGTGAACATCCACCACCTAGAATCTACAAATAACATTTTGTTACATTTGCCTTGTCACTTAATAGATGCTATTTTTCATGAGACTTCTTCAAGTTTGGTTTCTCTTTATAAATCTCACTGCTAAGGTAATTGAACAGTTTGCGTGGAGTCGTCTTAAACTCTTTGGGGAAACTTGTGACATTTGTGTGGTAGCTGGAATTGTAGTCCTCACTTGAAGCTAGTTTTAAACTTGTAAATCTGTTATGCTGAATTTTAACCTTATTTATTTTGCCTAAAGGGGTGTTTTTTATAATGGATTTATTTGAAAGTCAATCAGTTGTGCAGAATATTCTGTTATTTTCACACTTGATAAATTATCCAATTAATTTCTCTGGTGAGAATGTAATTTAGGGCCCGTTTTGCTTCTACAGGGTTCCAGGATTACGTTCCCGGAGGGCTGGTTTAATTTAGCACATAAACCACGAGTTTAGGATCTAGGAGGCTCAGATTTCACTGCTGCTTGCCCATGGGCAAGCCAGGTCCCTGTCTTTGTGTCCGTTTATCTACCTGTAAGGGGGGAACTAGAATTTGAAATTTAGATATTGTTAAGTCATGGGTAACATTTTTTAACGCTTGGATCTATGAAGAAAGACACTTTATGAATCCAGGGAGGCTCGTATAATTCTGTACCTGTGCGAGCTATGGAATGAAATCTG